ATAAAAAGGGTTATTATAATATTAAGGAATTTATGGATGATAATAACCCCTGGGAAGGGTGATCGCTACCAAGCTATTTCTAATTTGTCTTGTATTGTTAATTGTAAACATGATTGTAAGCTATTAATTGAAAAAAAAATAGTCCCGCTGGGTTTCTTGCTAGTTCTTCCCGGGTCAGAGGTTTTATTTGTAAACCGTGTGTTACCGTTAGTGGTAAATAAAAAAATTGATTTTCAATAAGTATTGTTTATAATCTACATTGAATAAAAAAGTTTCTGTTTCTGTTTCATCAGGTGAGCCGCATGCTCCGTCCTCTATATAAAAAAAAAGTTTGACGCTGAGACTCACCTTTGCCCGCTACAGAAAACTATTTTCCATAATCTCCATAAATCCATCAAAAATAAAGACACAAATCAGTGTGAAATCAAAACTTCGCCCTGCAAAGATATATGGGTTGAACTTAACAAACTGAATACGTACCTGTACTTTTGCTGTATTCAAAGGACGATAAGAATAATATGCGAGCTACATGTTACAGCACAACTTAGCAAGGTCGGTATTATCATTCTCGAGGAATTAAAAGTGAAACATTGACAATATTTTCACACATAAAACATCATCATCATCATCATCATTACGGCCCTTCACAAGTCCTCTGCTAAACATAGGCCTCCCCCAAGGTATGTCACAAAGCACAGTCCTGAGCCACCTGCATCCATCGACTTCCTGCTTGTCTTACCATTACATTACAAGGAACGAAAAAGTGTTTTGAGTTTCGAGATAATGGCAGAAAATATTTCTGCCATTATCTCACCACCATTGGTCATACTGTGTATAGGAAAAGGACCCATACAAACCGATATTTAAACGGTGAATCTCACCACCATCCTTCACAGTTAGCTACCGTGGGCAAATCTTTGTTACAGAGAGCACGAGGGATCTGTGACAGCAAACACCTGGCCGCCGAGCTTCAGCACGTCAAGCAAGTTCTGCACGACAACAAGCTTCGGGTCCCGCACCTACGTCACAGTGACCGAGTGAAGCCGGCCACAGTCGAGCGTGTGCCTGCTGTACTACCATATGTCAGAGGTGTCACAGACAAGATTGGCTATATCTTGAAGCGAGCTTCTATTAGAACATTCTACAAGCCGCCGAAGAAGATTAGTCAGTTCCTACCATCCGTCAAGTGTCATATTCCTCTACAAGATGCAGGAGTGTACAAGCTTGATTGTGAATGTGGTCTCTCTTATATAGGACAAACAAAAAGATCAATTAGGACCCGCGTAAAAGAACATATAGCTGACGTGAAGCATCACGTTCCGGGAAGTCTGCAGTTTGTGATCATATCCTAGACGGACCCAACCATTACATCAGATTTGATAGACCACAAATCCTCGCGAAAGAACACCGATTCCTACCAAGGATGTTACGTAAGGCTATTGAAATTAAAAAACATCCTAATTTCAATAGAGAAGGAGGCTGGGTACTACCACCTGCTTGGGATCCTATAATCAATAAAATTAAAACTAAACCCAAGCATACCACTGCAAGACCTCAGGACATAGTCAGTTCATTTTGCATAGATCGGACCATAAACAATAATTAAAAAAGCTGAAAGTACTCCGGGTTTAACAATGACATCGGGACGTCAGTCATCTCAGTCCCCCGTGACCATGGGTGCTGGAAAGCGCCCGAAACGTCGGGAATTAAAAATAAAAGTAAATAAAAAGTAAAAATAAACGCGATAAAATCCGTAAAAGTAGTTTTAATCATGTATAGTGTTCGCGTAAATATAAGAAATCATTAAGAAAATATTTCTTTAGCTTCCCTTTTAAAAATTAAATCTCTTTAATTTGTGTAAGGTATTAAAAAATTGTCTTATATTTACTGCCCCAAAATCTGCCGTCCTAGGCTCCAGCCTACTAAGCCTGCTGGTAAATCCGCCACTGAACATAGTACTAAAATATTTAGCGATTAAGTTACTAGTTCTAGTACATTAGGAGTAGCAGACGCATTATTCCTACTTTTTATAAAAGACCAGAAAATTTTTGGGTTACTAGTTATGTAAGATTCAATTTTATCAATATAGGATGCAAAGTATTCTCGCTCTAACTGGTTAGCCCATTTGCGTAATAATGCAAAAGATTGGTAGTCGGATAAATTACCATATAGTTTAAGCTTGCGATGATACCTGTGTTTTTCTTTTAAGACCTTTAGTAGCGCAGAATTATACCATGAAGGGTGTGACGAACGTCTAGTAGATTTTATGGGAATAAACTGGTCCCTAAGTTCATATAATTTATTATAAAAGAGATTAACAACATTATATAGAGAGTCATTTCCCAAAAGGTCATACCAGTTTACCTGGTCAAGAGCTGAGCTTATAGCCACGAGATAGTTGTTTACTTTTATATTGTAAGATCTTTTCATTTCAAATTCTCCCTGATATACGACTTTTTTATAGTTGGCGTACGATCACGCGTTTTTTTCATCTGGCAGCCCTGCTATAATCTGTAATCTGTACAGCGTTGCGATTAATACGGCAATTGCCGTAATACACGGCATTCCACGATTTTTTTTAAAGATTATACGGTATACGGCAGGCTTTTCATTGCCGTATAAAGTAATACGGCAATTTAGCTTTGCGATAAACCACGATGTCAAATTAAAAAAACATAAACACCTGTATCGGTATCCATATTTTTTTTCACTTTCGTCATCCCTTAAGTGATAATAAAGAGTGTGGTTGTCTATGACGGGAAATTACCGTTCCATCTTTTATTTTACGAGAATAACAAAGATGGCATGAGCATGACTAACGTGACCAGACGTCCCGTTTTGAACGGGACTGTCCCTTTTTATAGTTGCGAGTCCCGGTGTCCCCGAAATGAACTCTGGGACGTAAAATTGTCCTGTTTTCTGAAACCACGCGAAAATTTGTGTTGTTGTTACTAAAAAACTTTTTTGAAGATCCTATACCTAAATTATGGCTTTATTTTTTACACGCTCAGTCAGCAAGTTTTCATCAAGCTGTATAGAAACTTGAAATTCAGACAGTATCGGCTACTGAAACTACAAAAAAAATCAATCAACTAAATGACAATTTGACTCAGAAACAGACCAATCAGTTTCTTCCATATACGGTCCGTCAATTAAAAGTGAAATTGAAAGATATTGTTACTGACATAGATGAAAAATTGGTGGAAAGGGCGGCTACAGAATTTTATGAAACAAGCCGTGGATATCTAGAGCAGTGGACTTGCTTTCTTACCAAAGAAATGGAGATATTTTATTGGGCAGATTTAAAAAAGTTCCCCGCATGGGAATACGTTCAAAAATCTCTGTAAATAAATAAATATGCTCAATTTTTACGAAATCATAATACTAAAAAAGTAATTTGCGAAATTTTTTGAAATACAGTAGAACTTTGGCAATTAATAAATAATTTAACTGTTAAAATAATGCGTTGTATTGATGATATATTACAAAAAACATTTAATATGGAACCAAAACAGCAAATAAATTTGGCTTAGCATTTGATAAAAATGTTAAAAAATATGCTTAAACTGGAATAACCTACTCTTAGATCCCCGTACCTATGAAATTAATCCAGATAGAACCGTAAAAATAAAAAAGCTACGGATGCTGACTTTACCAAAATTATTAAAACGATGAATGTTAAGCCCCGGGTTTGATGGTATTCGCGTTTGTGATATAAAATACATTTCGAAATCAATGGTGCCTCTTATTACATACTTACTTAATTAATCAATGTCTAAAAACGTCTATTTATCCAGACTTACTAAAAATAGGTGTAATCCGACCAATCTATAAAAAAGGAAAACATAATGAGTTTAACAATTATCATCCTATAACTACTTCTGTTTTTTTATTGACCACCTGTTAATTGACCTAAATAAACCAATGTCCCGTTTTGAGTCAAAAAATAAATGGCCACGTTAAGCATGACACATGGTTGACATTGATAGAAGTAATGAATGAAAGAGATACACATATTTACTTTGTTTATATTATTGAATGAATGTACAACAATACGAACTCTAAGATATGTACTGTACTTTTGTAGTATTTACTCTGGCAGTAAATTAAACTTGGATCCAAGTTGGATTCGTTTGAATAGCTGCACTTTCTACAAAAAGCTTAAACTCTTACTTCAAAACACGCGAAAAGGACAAAGACGTCATATGTAGTTGTTTTCCGTCGTTGTCGCCACTGACCCAGCAATTGCCACGAATTGTGAGAGAATCGGATAAGCAACGAATTGATGAGTTATTTCAGAATTAGAAATAAAAACATGAGTTTTGGGCAAATGTCCAAGATACTACAGACTGCAAAATATTAGCAAATTTTGCTTTAGACGTATTATGTCTATCTACAACATAGCAATGCAGATTGCGAAAAAGTTTTCAATGAAGTAAACAATATGAAAACAAAATCCGGAAATAAATTGATAACATCCACTGTCAACGGAGCTCTATTAGCAAGACAAGCGGTTAAAAATCAAGAAGTTAAGACAAATGATATGTGTAAGAAAATGAAAAGCAAAGAAAAATATTCATTGTATAGACAAACGAGTGATGTTTTCAATCATTCAGAAACCTATACGGTGAAGACATTTCAGATTTTATGTGATTTATTTAATTATTCGTAGAAATAAATACTTTACGGCAATTTAGTGTATTTTTTCATAAATACGGCAATTTTCGTTTTTAGATACGGCAACTCAATTTTTTACAGTCTCAACTATATATATAGCTATTATAGCTTGCTACATATTTATTTATCTATGGTCTCAACGCTGAATCTGTATTTTATTGACAGAACAAAAAGAAACGTTTGTTTGAAAATGAAATTGAAATGAAACTGAATGTTTACGTATGTTAGGTCCTTTGTGCATAAATTATTTATTTTACTAGGAAATAATCGATGAACTTGTCCTAGACTTGAGATAGTAAATCATCATTGTGTAAAAATATAACATGAGACGAACGTATAGATCCAAAAAGGATGCCGGTGGTGGTTTAGAACATAAAAATTTACTGTCTACAATAGACTCTAAAAGTTCTCTTTTCGATGCCTTTTACATTCAAAACATAAAGCAAACTAAGCGCGAAATGTCTTGTATGGGTTCTTCTAATCACAGCAACGTCGCCCCTTATAAGGTTTGCAAAAAAAAGTATGTCAAGAGAATTTTAAAAGATGTCTCAACACGGGAGGAGTCGCTTCGAGATTCTATATCTCAATCAGCATACCTGACACCTGACAAATCTTTACATGTAAATAAGCCTCCAGACCCGTTCGATCTGTTGTTGAAATCTTCCCCCGCAGTCACTGGCAGCCCTATATTATCATTCAATGTGTAAGTATTAACATTCTGTCTTAATTTTAGTATTAATTCACGTATGTATGAAATGACTTTCTAAAAGTTATATGAATCAACAGTCGATGATCATCAATAGATAATCTAACAACCTGACAAGACATGTTGGCAGTTGATGGCTTCGTAAAACTGGACCATGCTATGTAAAAATCTATCGGAGAGGCTTTTGTACACTCAATAAGAAATCACTATGTGATGTGATGATGATAAAGAAGATAAAAGTTACTAATTTCTCATTTATGTGTTTATCTTTCAATTGTGACTTAAATTCTGTTATACACATACTTATATTATTACTATTTTTTTTTATAGGATAGGATGACAAACGAGCACACAGTCCACTTGATGGTAACTGGTTGCTGTGACCCATTGACATCTACATCTATCCTCGATTATGGATCAAAATGCAGATACATTGTCATCCATGAGGACTTAGATGGAATGCCTTGTTTCCAGTAAAAAGGGTCTCCAGTTCTCTACACTCACCATATGAAACACAGCATCATTAAGCTACTATTTGACGCTGGTATTCTGTGAGAGTGTTGTCCTTCCATGGTCGAGCTGCCCCATTCGTGCTACAACTTTACTACTAATATAACTGCAGCATGGCTCTACCACGTAAGATAATGTATTTGATCATTTCAATGTCATTCATATTACAAAATGTTTTAAATATATTTTTATATGGCATCATACTATTTGTCATGGCATCATATCATATTTTTAAGAATGGCCTATATTTACTTCACTCTTATACATTGTCACTATCTTAACTATAACACAATGTAAAAAATAAGTCATAAAAAATTGTTATTCTCGTATTGTGATGTGTTTTTGTGCTAACTTTAATCTAACAAATCTTCGCCACTAAACATTAAGTTTACCATCATACAATTATGAGCTAAATCCAATATATACATATATTATGTGTGCAATCTCAAAAATAATATTACTTTCATATACATTGAAAATGTCTGAAATAGGTAGTAATGCTATAATAAGCTTTAAGCATAATATATTACATAGGCTATTTTTCCATTGTTTTTCTTTCTTCTATATATTTAGTTAAATATATTTACTATGGTCTTTATAACTTTACTATTAAAATATTATAAAACCATGCCACATTTTGACATTGGGAGGTCAGAGATTACTGTATAAAACACAACAAGACTGAAATAGGGTCGTTGCGCTGGTTTTCGGCCTTTTAGTGGAGTTGTCAACTTTAAGGTACTATAAAAAATAATAGCGATTATGTTGACCTAGTGTTGTTAATGTTAATTTATAGCTTATATAATGTAGTTTTCATTTTGATAACTCATTGATGCTACAAAAGAAATCTATTTTTTATAATAAATTTTGATGTGAAAAATATGCAAAACGCTAGTTTTCGGCCCCAAATTTTAGATTTATAGAATATTAAATTGTAAGTAGTGTAGTGTAAGTAGAAAACTAAATTGTATATATTTTAGAGTCAATCCAGTTTTCGGCCACGACTGAAATGGGTATTTTGTTTCATCACTAACTGTTCAAATTGCAGTACTTGGTGGCCGAAAACTGAAAGTTAGTGTCTACGCACGCTACGATTCAATATAAGTAAGAAAGATGAGTTATAGTACGTAACCAAATAAACGAAAGAGACAAAGTATTTAGGCTAAACTCAGGCTACTTTTCGGCCGCATGGCTGACAACCAAATAATGGGACAATTTTATGTGTCACTTTTCGGCCACTTAATTTATTAACTTTATCAATAAATTATTATAATAATCAGTGTCAAATAACTATATTAGGTTATTTATACAGTGAAATATAAGCACAATATTAAGTAATTATATTAAATACAGCACGAAACTTACTTTTGAATCGAACGCTCGCCACTATTTTTTTTGCTCGATCTTACCCGTTTTGATAGCTTCAGTGTCGGCGTCAAACTAAACTATTTATTATAAATCGCGTGTTGTGATTACCTGATTAATTAATGCTTCCAGATACAGTGAAACTATTTACAAATGCATTAAACTGTATTTCTTACAATAATATTTATTAAAATTGTTATTAAATCAAATTTACTGCATCAGCTCGTGCCAAAGGCCAAAATCTAGACCCGGCCGGCTTACCGGCGCATCGACCCTATAACTAATTGCTAAAATAACAATAACACTGAAATGGAGTAACATGCAAAAGCTTCTTAAAAATACAATAAACTATATATCTATTTATGAATATAATACTATATGATTTATTGATTTTACAGCAAGGGAAAAAAATATAGTAGAAAGAAAACAACAAAACTAAAGAAATTTAACTGTAGAAATGATGACAATACAGGTATTTACATCACATTTCACTTCATCATATTTTTTTATTACTATTATACTTTATCAATTTACATTTTAATTATAGATTCAGATAAAGAAAACACCAAAGCTAAATTTAGCGATTCTTCTCAAAATGTGACTGATTTAAATTTTCATAGATTAATAATCGAACAAGAAAATGCAAAAAATGATGAATCTATTTATACTATAGTAAAAAAAATGCCCCTTTTTTCAAGTGAGATTAGAAGTACTCAGAAAAAAGGCATAACAGACAACCATAGACTGACTTCGACTGTAAATTTTAAATCTCCAGCAATTAAAAATTCTCCATTCTGCAGTACTCCGTTTCAAGAAAAATATAGAAGTAAATCAATTTATAATTTTTCGCCAATTATAATGAATATCAATGACAGTCCAAAAGTCAGTTTAAATGATACAAATAAATGTAAGATTCATAAAAGAATTAATTTTAGTGGAAATAATACATGTGATGATTCTCAGCATTCCATGACGCATGCTCAACCTTTACTTGATATAAATTCACCAACTAATGATTATAGCTGTAATTTAGAAGATAAAGTAATCAAACAAATAAATGGAAGTAAAACTAAAAAGAATTATGAACTATCTGATGTGGATCATGAAAATAATACTATTTTTTATACCACTGAAGCAGAACCTTTTTATGGATTTGCTCTTAGATCAGTTACAAAGGAAATTGATAATAATGATAATAATATTCAAAAGGAAAGTACAAACAATAATTCATTTAAAAATTCTTCAGTAAGTATTCTAACCAGATCTTTTTTAGGATTTGATAATGTTGAAATTCAAGACTTAGCACATGCAAATAAAGTCTCAAATATTTTAAGCCCTAAAAAAATTGACAGAGTAACTAATCTTTCAGTGGATACTTCTGTTAATTGTAGCTTATATGCTATTAATAATAGCATTAATAGAGAAAATATTTCTGTCATTGATTATTCTTTACTACAAGATAATATAACAAAGGAAAATGTTATGAGTAGTAAAAACTTGAATATGAATGAGAGTGATAAAACAGATGACATCAATACAGATTCATCAAAGTCTGAAGAGATAGCTTCGCAGTCACTTTATGATACTTGCAATAGTGATGAATCTTCTATTAACAATGATAAAATTGTATATTGTGCTAAGCCTATAGTTATATTAGAGAGAATGAATAATTCTGTATTTTACAAGTATTATAACAAAGTGGAAAATAACACAATGCAAAAAGAAGACTCAGACATAACCCACAGTTCTAGTGGTAATTACTCTCACTTTGAGGGAAAAGATATACCAACAGACATATTCAGTGAATCATGTGTTATGGGCAATGAAAATGATGACAGTGCTTATTCTGATTATAATATTTCTAAAGAAAGAAAAGCTGGCTTAGAATGTGATGAAGATATTAAATTAAATAAAAGTGAAGAAGAAGATAGATGTGTAAGTTTTGTCACAACTAGAAGACGAAATGAGATTACAAATAATTCATTAATATTTATTTGTGATAATTCTTATGGTAGCACTAGTAGTGTTGATGTTGATAAGACTGTTATTTCCAACTGCAAAGATGAATTACATTCTGAAAATAATAACAATGATAATTTAACACCAAAAACAGAACTCATTGCTTATGAAATAGCTTCAAATAATGAACTATCCAACACAAATCAAGGTAATTCTAAACCATTGTCAGAAAACATCAATGTGGTAGATTTGCTTAGTGCGACAAAGAGAAATAACACATCCATAAGAGAAAGTAATAACGTAAAATTAGACAGTGATATTGGAAGTGAATTAAAACTGCCTATAGTGCTACAACCAGGCAAAAAATGGGAAAGATCTTTAAGTATATACAAGAGAATGACAACAATGGCTGATAACTTTGATCATTCAATCTTAGATAATGAACCAATGGAATGTAAGGGAAGAAAGTATAGACAAAGTGTAATCAGTACCATGGAAATGCAAAAATGCAAAGGTAGATACATCATATTATTTTGATTATCTTTAAAAACCAATTTTTGTGTAAAAAGTGGTATTCATTCCATTTTTTGTAGTTGTCAAGTTAAATAAAATAATAATAACAATAACAATAAAGTGTAATCGCGTGCGTGCGTGCGTGCTTGTGTGTGTGTGAGCGCGTGCGTGCGTGCTTATGTGTGTGTGTGTGTGTGTGTGTGTGTGTGTGTGTGTGTGTGTGTGTGTGTGTGTGTGTGTGTGTGTGTGTGTGTGGGGGGTGCGGGTGCGTGCGTGCGTGCGTGCGCGTGCGTGCGTACGTGCGTGTGTGTGTGTGTCTGTCTGTCTCTGTCTTCTCTCTCTCTCTCTCTCTCTCTCTCTGGTGTGTGTGTGTGTGTGTGTGTGTATGTATCTCTCCCTCACTCTCTGTGTGTGTGTTTTGTGTGTGTGTGTGTGTGTGTGTGTGTGTGTGTGTGTGTGTGTGTGTGTGTGTGTGTGTGTTCTGAGTGTGTGTGTGTGTTTGTCTCTCTCTCTCTCTCTCTCTCTCTCTCTGTGTCTGTGTGTGTGTGTGTGTGTGTGTGTGTGTGTGTGTGTGTCTGTGTGTGTCTGTGTGTGTCTGTGTGTGTCTGCGTGTGTCTGCGTGTGTCTGCGTGTGTCTGCGTGTGTCTGCGTGTGTCTGCGTGTGTCTGCGTGTGTCTGCGTGTGTCTGCGTGTGTCTGTGTGTGTCTGTGTGTCTGTATGTCTGTGTGTGTGTGACGTGAATGTTGTAAGACATCATATTAATGTATCTATCATCATATTATTATATCACCTGTACGTATGACGTGGCTGTTTGAGGATTTTTGTAATAAGCTATTTAAGGATTCTAGATTTCGTCGAGGGTTTGCCTAACAGGGTCGCCTATATGAACAAATAATCGAAAACCTATGATTTTCAAGTACGAGGAAGTTTCTTTCTATTAAGTCCGGTTCAGAGGCGATAACTGTAAAGATCTTACGAAAATATACCACTATGCCATCATTATGATTTAAAAGCTTTTTGGAGTAATATACATTGTAATCGATTATATTTGGGGAGGGATATCTTTTCTCGACCAGCATTAGGTTAAAACTATTATATCCATTGTTTTATCAAGTGCCGATAAAAAAGCCAATAACAGATCGAAGTTGCGGTATTATACTCCGTATACCTATTTGCAGTAAGGATGCAAAAAGATTCGGAACCATCATGTCATTGCAAAAGTTGTGAGCACTGCGACACTTCGTCAATCAGAGTACAGTTGGCTTTATTTTTGTCAAAGTCAAATGTAAAATTATTTTTAAAGGATTGAATTTTAATTGTATAAATACATTTTTTCATATATTTGCCTTTTCACATTGCGATTTGGTAATTAGTAGCAAACGTCAAAGCGCCGTAAAATCTGTACACTAATATAGCAACATAAATAACAATTCGTTTCGAAATGAACTTTTGCTTTGCAATATGTAAATGTTTATAAATTATATATTTTAGTGATATTATATATATATATATATATATATATATATATATATATATATATATATATATATATATATATATATATATATAAAAAGTTGTGTGGTGTTATTTTGTTAGTGCACGAGGGTGACACCGAAAGTTTTAGAAAATCAAAAACTGAACATACTAGCTAGTTATTAGTTTTATTATATCTTTTCAAAATAGTGTCCATTTACATCAATACATCGCTGCATCCGATAGAACCACTGAGAAAAGCACTTTATCCACTCGTCCTTAGGGGTCTCTTCGATGGCATTTTAAAACGCAGCCAATGCTTCCTAGGCGTCCATTAAACGTTTTCCTCGAAGTTTTTCTTTTATTTTCGGAAATAAATAAAAATCGCAAGGTGCGAGGTCGGGGCTATAGGGCGGGTAACCCAGTAATTCCACGTCTGTCGGTGCCAAGTAGTCGATTGTTTGCTTGGCAGTGTGCGACGAGGCGTTGTCGTGATGAAGGAGGATCCTACTGCAAGGTCGTTTCTCCCGAATTTTTTCAAAGACAAGTGGCAAACAATTGTTAGTGTAACACTCTGCACTAACTGCTTTTTGATCCTCTAAAACAATTGATAATCGTAATGACCTGTTCTTCCGAAGAACGAGGTCACCACCTCGTTCCACCACCACCCCACGCTTCGACCTCTGTTCATTTTAGTTGGCAAACTATCTCTTAGTTTCAGAATCATAACAATAAATCTAGCTTTCTTCACCTGTAAGTATGTCGAACACAGCATTTGAGTCATCTCCGTTAAATCTTTAAACCAGTTCACGACACCAATCAACACGATGGAGTTTTTGGGCCTCTGTCAAATTATGAGGTGTCCACTGGACACAAAGCTTCCTGACTGCTAAATGTTCATGGAGGAATTCGTGAACTTGACTCATATCGATGCCTAAGCTTATCCGGATCTGCTGATAAGTCACTATTTTATGAGTTTCTATCGTACGCTGCTCAACACCGATGTTATCTTCAGTAGTCGCCGTAGAAGACCGTCTGTCACGTATATCATCGATGAGATTAGTGCGACCACGTTTAAACTCATTAAACCAGTTGTAAATAGTGGCACGAGATGGGGCTTTATCGTGAAAGGCCAATCGAAGTCTATGATAATTTTTTTTGACATCGAAAGTCATGAAAAATAATTGTACGAAAATTTTGTGTGATACAGACAATTTTCAATTTGCCGCCAAATCGTAAACAAATGACAAATTAATAAAATACATACACAATAATATTAGCAGAGTTCCATTTTCAAAAGCAGATGTTTCAAAATGGTCCAGGTCTATGTACACTACGTCAAATAAAAGAGAAAAATCTGTAGAGTTCGGTAAAAATACAGATAATTCGTTGAAATGTATCCTGTCGTGGTAAACTATTGATGTTTATCAATTATTTTTATCGAATTTCAACATGACGTCTTACCGATTTAGTTACTCTGTGCTTACAGACAATGAGTAAACTGTATTTAGTGACCAATGATCATAGAAAGAAAACTGTCAGTTGTCACAACAGTGTCAAAAATACTTGAAAAAACATGTCAAACGTTACTAATCAATAAAAATGACATCTTACCGCCATACAGGGTTTTTGTTGTGTGTTGCAATTTCAATTGTAATTTCCTGTGCTTACAAAACAAAACCAATATAAAATAATTAGACAGTTGAGAACCGTTAAAATTTTGTTTCATTATTTTTGAGTATAGTGTACATGGACCTGGCCCAGGCTCCACACATTTTGGAACATCTCATTTGAACTTATTTTTTTATTATATCGTATACAAGTGGCCAGTTCTTAAAACTTTCAGTGTCACCCTCGTACATAAGAAAATAATTTTCTTTTTTAAAATTTAGTAACCGGCCTTTGAAAATATTATATATAGAATATATTATAAGTAACTTTTATACAATTAAACTTATTTTCTAGTGTAAATACTAACTTGAGCAAGTAAATAATTAAAACTAAGTCATTTTCCCCTGAGTTTTTGCAGTTCGACTTCGCAATCAATACGAATTCGTTTCATAACTTCTTCTTTTCTTAAGTATATGTTACTATGCAAATTCTCTACTTATGTAAAACAGCTTTCTAGCGTTCGCTGTCAAGGTTTCTGTTACATATATTGATGTACGAGACTGATTAATTTTTTAGTGAGTAGCATTTAATTTATTATTAGCGTTTTCCTTATAAATGATTTTACTGCTGAGATAATTATTTATTCATATCCATATATTTATCCTTTGATATTTTGTTCCTGAAATAGACAATAGCCTATAGTTATCTGAACTGTAAGTTAGTAAATTGGTTTAATGTTAATGATGATATGAATGATAATGTAAATGGCACTAAAACAGTTTAACACTGGTAGAGCCACGCGGCAGCTTTGCTGTTGCACGTATGGGCCGGCTCAAACCGGGGTGGTACCACGACCTCACAGAATACCGGCGTGAAGTGGAAGCTCTGCTTCCGCGTTTCGTCTGGTGAGTGCAGGTGGCCGGAGGCCCAAATCCCCCCCCCCCCATCAACATGGTAGCGGAATTAAATAATGATCGACTACCCCAGGAGGGTACCAGCCCTGGAGAATCCCTCGCTGAACATCCACGACCATGTTTCTCCACTTCTGAGCGTGGGTGCTCAGGCTGCCCCGCGTATTCTAGGGGGGGGGGGGGGCAAAATTCCGCTCAAGACTACAACTGCTCGGGGCAAACGGAGCAACAAGACCAAGGCGACCCCTGCCACGCTGTCCGTGAATTTCTGCAATATCAGGGGACTTCACTCTAACCTAAACGCCGTCCACTACCATCTCGAGACGGCGAGGCCGGCTCTGCTCTTTCTGACCGAGACGCAGGTGTCCTCTCCGGCTGATGTCTCGTATCTCTCCTACCCGGGGTACAAACTGGAACACTCCTTCGTGCCTCGGGCTGGAGTTTGCGTTTACGTCAGAGAGAACATCTGCTCTCGACGCCTCGGCAGACTTGAAGGTTCGGACCTGTCCATCCTTTGGCTACGCGTAGGCAGCGACGACCATCCGCGCGTCTACGGGTGCCTCTATAGGTCCCATAGCGGTAATGCCGAAACAGACCGACTATTCGACCACGTCCAAATGGCTGCAGATTCGTTGCTACAGCAGATCCCCTCCGCAGAGATCGTGATCCTCGGCGACTTTAACGCCCATCATGCCGAATGGCTTGGTTTTTTTTTTTTTTTTTATAGAAGAGGGCAAACGAGCATGTGGCTCACCTGATGTTAAGTGACTACCGCCGCCCATGATCAACCGCAACACCAGGGGAATTGCAGGTGCGTTGCCGGCCCTTTAGAAAGGAGTAAGCTCTTTTCTTGAAGGTCGTACCGGTCCGGAAAAATCACCGGTGGTAAATTATTCCACAGAGAGGTTGTACGCGGAAGAAAACTCCTTTTGAAACGTACAGTGGTGGACCGCCAAGCATCCAGATGGTGTGGATGGTATCGGGACGTTTGCCGTGTAGTGCGTTC